CCCGGGAACCTGCATCTGCTGCGGGTGTCCCAGCAGGAGCGCTCGCTGATGGAGGTAAGAGGGGAGGCGTCCTGCAGCCGTGCGACGCCCCTTCCCTGAGGAAGCAGAGCCCTCGTTTTCTGGGACCCCTGTGGGTTAGGAGGCTCGTGGTCCAGCCGGGTGCTGGCCTGGTAGGGACACAGGGACCCAACTGCCCGCCTGCCCTGGGAGGAGAAAGACTCCACTGCACGTTGAAGATGGGCCATCCAAGGAGCAGAGAACCAGGAGGACTTCCTGGAAGAGGCAGCATTTGGACAGACCCTGACTGCTGCAGGGGCAGGTTCGGGGCAGTGGAGGGGAGGGAGCAGGACTCCTGGGAGCGGCACACACGGGGCTGCCCACTGCCCACTGCCCACCAGAGGGGCAGCTGGTGGCGGTTCCACCTCCCTGGGCGGCAGACTGCAGGTGGGTGGGGAGGGGCTGCACATGGCTGCAGGCCTGGGTCCTGGGTCCGGAGGCTGCCCAGCTTCAGCGGGAGGATGGCAGCCCCCACCTCGGGCAGGGGTGTGGTGGGGACAGAACGGGGCGGGGACTGGGACGGGGCCCCCAAGGCCAGCGCTTGCTGGCATATTGTTCTGTGCCCTCATGCTGGCCAGGGGAGGTCAGAGTGAGACATACGGGCCAGGCGGGCCCTTCGAGGGGCGGGGTCGGGGGGCTCCTGTGCAGGCCCCAAGCTTCCAGCGCAGCCACCCCAGCGCACAGCCCTCAATCCTGCCCCCGAGCGTCCCCCAGGACGGCCACACCCAGCACCACAGGCGGTGCCCCTTCCGGAAGGTGCAGGGGGCTCTGTGGAGTCCGCTGTGCGGCTCCCGGGCCTCTCCTCATGGGGACCACCCGCCAGCTCTCAGAACAGTACGGGCCGGTGTTCACCGTCCACTTGGGAGGCCAGAAGACGGTGGTGCTGACCGGCTACGAGGCGGTCCGGGAGGCCCTGGTGGGCACGGGGCAGGAGCTGGCCGACCGGCCCCCCATCCCCATCTTCCAGCTCATCCAGGGGGGCAGGGGTAGGTTTGCGAGGGGGAGAGGGCCCCCCCCCCGGTGGGGAGGGGCAGTCGCCAGCCCTGCTCTTCCGGGGGAGGGGGGACAGGGTGTCCGTGGACCAGTTTGGAGGTGAGTGAGGGCCGGGGGGGCCCTTCCCCGGGCCCCTCCCCGCTGAGGCCTGTCTCCCCCACAGGCCGGCCCTTCCCGCTGGCCCTGCTGGGCTGGGCTCCCTCCAACGTCACCTTCACGCTCCTCTTCGGCCAGCGGTTTGACTACCAGGACCCTGTGTTCGTGTCCCTGCTGGGCCTCATCGACGACGTCATGGTCCTGCTGGGGACGCCCGGCCTGCAGGTGAGAGGTCAGAGGTCGCCAGGGCCACCAGCCAGGAGAGGTGAGGTCGGCGAGGGCAGTGGTTCCCACCTCCTTTGGCCACGCCCCCTGAGCATCTCTAAGGTCCCGATGCCCCGGGACAGAATTCTTGTGATTCACGTGGAGGAAGCCTCAAGGCCATGAACTTGGTCCACATGGGCTTCCCGAGAACAGGGCGTCCACGGACGAGAAAACAAAACCAAAGGACAGCTGGACACTGAGGAAGAAATCACTGAGAAATGGTTAAAATAACGATATGAAGAGATATGAGAAAATAGCAAAGTTTCAAAACATGATAGAGAACTGAAATGCATAAACATGTCACAAAACGTATTTATAAACTGTACATGAGGCCCCTAGAACCATAAGAAACACAAAAAATTCAGTTAACTCATTCTCGAATCCGCCCCCGCCTCCATGGGCCATGGCCCGCACTGGGCTGGCAGCGCCGCGCTGGGAAGTGCGTCTGAGCCCTAATTCTGGTCGGGGAGCAGG